TATGACTCATCCTCTGGGGAACACAAATGACTTCACCATATTGTAAGGCACTCTTCCAGTGTCTGTTGAGGTATTTCATTTTGGAGCCAAGTCTTACATCAGCCAGAACACCAACATTGCCATCACTAAAGCCATACTGTTAGCATGCCTACAAAAAGCATAGGCAGTCATTATAAGACAAAATGACATTTTTCATGAAAATATGTTTAACATTCACTGTTTCAACTCCCCAATTGTGAGGATTGGCTGCTTTTTCCTTTTTTATATTATTGTAAACCAAATGTCTTTGGGTTTCTGACAATTAGTCATTGGGAAAATGCTAATTACCCAACATGGTGGGTCAAAATTGTTACTTCAGTACTACAGTATTTCAACAACATCTCAATATCTTGTGTTTACTAGCTACACGAAACTGTCATGCAGTCATTCTTTTGGGAGTGCCTTCCAGCCTGCTATGTATCATCAAAACAGGTTTTGTTAAGGCAGTTATTTCCCTGGGCTGATTAGGCAAAGACAGGGAACTACTATAAGGGTTTAGACTTTGTGTATACAGAAGTTGTCTGTGGTTAAATAGGCAGCTCCCTTTCCAGCAGGTGACAACCAAATAAACACAATCTCATTCTCCAATTGAAACTTGTTCGGATAGAATAGAAGGACATTTTGCCATTCATTATTTAATCTTGTGTGTAAAATTACAGTAGTGATTCAGAGAGGCCAAATAGACCAACTGTTTGAGGCCAGAGCAGTTGATGGTATCTCCTGTGATCCTAATGCGCTCTCCTTGGGTCGGACGGCACTTACTGTGCATCCTCTGCCTCCAGTGGGCTGTAGAATTGAGGGCAAAGAGGTTTCTGTTGATTCTTTTTTGTTCTCTACATTGTGTTTGTAGTTCACTCATTGTCTATTAAAGATTGATTAAGTGTAAAGTGATGAGTAAGAGAAAGCCCACTGAATGCAGTGTGTTTTTGCAAGCCTCTGGAGGCCCTACTGGTCCAGTGCGCAGAGAATGTGGAGTTTGTAGAGCATAGAGACTCCAGGAATGTTGGAAAGTCAGTATGAGAGGAGGGAGACAGTCAGACTGTGACTTTGTTCGAGCGCTGGCACTGAGTGTTGTAACACACCTGCAGTGTCTTGTTACCATCTCAAGAGTCAAAACAATCCCACCTCTGACTGTGAAAAGTCAAGAAAGCTGTGTCATGAGAAGTGAGCCACAAAAAAACATTAAACATGAATTTATCAGACCAAGACTCAAAAGTAAAAAGAGGCACTGAAATGTATGAGAGTGGCATTTATTTACGAATGTCCTATACATCTGAAATGTTTGGATAAGTAAATGTTTTCTGCTCTCTTCCACTGACAGTTCAGTACAATAGTGTGTCAAACTGTGAACATTTGGGTTTAGGCAGTTCTATTGCAAAAGAAAAGCCTTCACTGCACAGCAAGTTATGCGTTTCATGTTCCCAGCAGCAGTACTTTGTTTAGAAATAAATAGAGGAAAAACTGGGTGGTTTTGTAAGGAAAAAATATATCCAACATCAGTCAAAAAAACTCAACAGAAACTCAAATGTCATTGACAAGTGATAAGATTGGGGGAAATACAGTGGGGGGAAAACAGTTTGAGCGATTAGTAGCAGTGATGTCAGCAAAAGAAGAAAGAAAAACAAGATTCCTGTGGATTGCCACTTGAAAGCACACTCTAAAAGTGACTAAACAGAAAGTAAGAGGTGTGGTTTTCATGTGAGAATCAGGTCAGGCATTAGTGGCAGTGAAGAGGAGAAACAGAAAGATACGTGAGTGTACTGCTGTGGGAAGTTTGGGGAAACCCAGCTTGTCAGAAACACACACACCTCTTAGCAGGATTTTACTCTTAGGCCAAGGCTAGAGGGAATCTTTCCCAGGCATCCTTACCATATTGGGAAGAGAGGAAAAGTGCACTAATGCCTCGGGCTCAGTAGAGAAAACTGACTGGCTGAATACCAATGAGGCCGATGAGCATCGATAATAATCACTAATGGCTCTCAGACAAGTTATCAAGAGCCACATTGACATTTTGACCACTTAACAGATACAGGCAATGGTTACACCATCTATAATGTGGCTTCATCTAAATACAGTCATACAATGTTTTTTCTCATTGGAATTCCATTCACTCACTTTCTAATTGACCTTGTTCAACTAATAGTGTGGAGCGGAATACAAAACACAGCACAAAATTGCCCTCTGAGTCTTTGAAGCCACATGACCTCCATGTTTCTGTTAAATGTTTCTAAAAATACCCATTCATTTGGAGCTGCAAAACAAACGCACAAACACAGACATACAGACTCAGTAATGACCTCAGTTAGATAAACACCTCACCATTGTTTTCACCCAAACGGCAAGGACAAGACCTTATGGAAGAACTGGAAATAATGAGAACAAACCAATCAATGGAGCAACAACAAATGCCCGGAGCATTTGAATGACAATGCACATCTAACCATCCCGGAGAAATGTGAGCCAGGCAAGACGCAAGCCGTTTGAATAGCCATGCCTTGGATAGAGATCAATAATGCTTTGTGAACAGAACCTCACCACAGGAGGCAGACTTCGGCAGCAATTAAAAGGGAGACAATACTTTATGTGAAGAGGCTGAAAGCTTGTGGTAAAAATAACTGTATAGGGGAAATAGGATAATGCTTCAGAAGAGCATGTGGAGGATTGACTGAGGTAAATGTCAGGTTGAAATTAAACTGTCCGACGCACTGTAGCCAGCAGAAAGTGGCACAAAACAATTCATTTATTTTCAAAATAGCAGTTACTGGATGCATGATTTTGTGGCTGATTTTATAACAGTGAATGGGGTGTGAAGCTCTGTTGGTATAGCTCCTTACTCTGCTTTGGACTCCCTTTGGTTCCCACAAAGGTCAGCACTATCGAGACGGTTTGCAAGCGGCCAACAGACTGATTTCACAGGTCACGGTTAAAGTTTAAATCTAGGCCAAAGCACGTCACAAATGTACTTCCCCTCGGTGAGTACATCTAGAGCATTTCACTGTGTTATGATGGAGTGACCATGCCACTGAACTTGAGCTGGTGCTAGTGTACATGAGAAACATTATATTAAAATAAACTAAGCTAGAAAAGGGCAGCTAAAGCGGGAGAAGGGCAATACAAAAAATGTGAAAGAGAACCGAAGGGAGACTATTTCCTTTTGATGAAAGCCTTTTTCATCCAAGTGTGAGCCAATTATTTTTTCTTGTTGAGCGAAAATGTGAACAGCTGTGTTTGCTGTGAATCAGTGAATAATGGCATACCACACAAGGACCTCTGAAAGCACATGCAGAAGCACACACACACACACACACACACTCACTCACTCACTCACTCACTCACTCACTCACTCACTCACTCACTCACTCTCTCTCTCTCTCTCTCTTTTGCCCTGTGGGTTGGGTGACGTCATGTTTGTTGTGGGTTGGGCCACTTCTGCCGGAAGGTTAAAGACTCACACTGCCAAAGGTGATCCAGGGTTTTAAAGATGGACAGAGCAGAACATTCCCACTACATCATTAGGCTCCTAAAGCCCAGAGATAAGGAGCTGTTCTAAGTTGTGGCCCAGGGCCTCAGAGGACCCCGGCCCCTGACTGACAGGCTCAATCAGATTTACTCCCGGGTTGACCAGAGGTCCAAAGAAAAACAACATTCTTTCACTGACTGACCATGTAACAGGAATACTGTCATCATCTCTCCATAGTCTTGGGTTTGGGAATGTTTATGGTAAAAGAAAGACTTCCCACTTGGGAAATCCCCTCTTCCGTCGTATGACTGGCCAGGCATGTCACTGGTCAGATGGCTGACAAGAGCCTCGGGCCTGAGATGACCATGATGAGATGCAGATCTCCCGCTAGCTCACAGCCATTAATCCACCCATGCTGACAAGAATGGGAAAGTAGACCATGGCTTTCTGTGGAGGAGGCTCACTGCCTGGTGGTCATAACTACTGTCTTAGCAGGAATCATATTCATACACTGGAGCTCAAATACATAGAAAGTGATTTACTAGACATAGTGAGGATATCTTTTTGTCAGAGAAACAACACTGCTGACAGGGACTCCTTCATGTGGAACGGCATTGTTTGACACTGATGTCACCAGCCGTTTTAACCAAATTTGCCTGTGAAATTTGACATTTTATGCTGCAAGTAGCAGCTCTGTAGCTTTCTCTGTCAGTCGGTCAAACAAAGATGTTACCCAAGCTTTGATTGGTACAGTTTCCATCCAAGAAGAATGAAATTTTGCATGGATGTCGAGTGTTTTCGGGGTTGTGTTTGTATGTGAATGCATGAACACGTAGATGTATGCATGTTTTGTAGCTATTGTGAATTGACACTCCTGGTTAAAGGGAGTTAAAGTGTGGTGGACAGATGTGTAAACACTTAAAACACTCTCTTTATATTGATGTGTAATGCAAATAAAACGTAATATCAGATGGGCTGTTTATGCGTCTGAAAAGGGTAAAGGAAGAAACTCAGCTGTCAACATTTATCATATCTGGCTGATATTTCAGCAAAGCATACATCAGTCTGATGAAAACACTTAAACAGTAAGGGTAGTTACTTAACCCTTCAGGCCCATCCTGTCTCAATTACCCACGCCCTCACCCCTTACTCCCCCCAGACAGTCTCCTGACCCCGGCCGGAGCATGGGAAGAGCCACACACAGTGGACAGCACAGCACAGAGAGGAATGCAAACACAAGGCACCAAGAGACATGGCTGGCACCAATGTTTCTAGCAAAGACAACAATCATAAATAGCTGATGCACTGAGCTAAAAAGAAAGTGTTTTAAAACAAAAGACATCTGAAGTTGGCAAGGTTTAAGCAATCCATAAAAGAGTTGACTGCTGGAAAAGTTGGAGAGAGGAGTTTGAGGCAGTCAGGCCTCCCATGGCAGGGCTGGGAGTGGATAGTGTATAAGTCTTCTGGAGAAAGTGCAGACAGAGATGTAAAATGTTCTTACCTGATGTGTCCCACATATTCAGCTCTATCCGGTGCTTCTCAATCTCAAAACTGGCTGTGTAGTTTTCGAACACAGTGGGCACGTAGTTCTGTAAAAAGGAGATGTATTTTAGTTTTCCTATTAAGTTTTACATGATAAGCTGGTGTTTACAGATCAGGCTTCACAAGAGTTTAGTTGGTAAAAAATATTGTATGATACAGCAAATAAATAGTGTACTATAGACTGATATAATTCACATGGCAAAGCTAGTACTGTATTTGAGAAATATAGTGAGTTAACAGATGAAGACAACGCCTTAAAGTGTTTTTGGGCTGTACTGCAGACACAATAAAAGTAAATGTACACGTTAAAGGACCATTACTGTGGTTTTACAGGCGTTTATTACAGATCTCTCAGCGCTTCCTCTCTATGTAATGGAACATATCTCATAAGACAGGTGGATGTAACCTGCTGAACAAGTGCTGAAGTTGACTCGCTCAGTTTAGCGTTTTAATGGCTTTCTCGTTCACTCCTGATCTCAGTTATGAGAGAATTAAAAACACCTGAATTAACACTTTTGACAGACCTACCTCTGGATAGGAGTCTTTGGCAAAAACGTGCAGGAGTGCAGTTTTCCCACATTGCGTATCCCCGACCACCACAATCTTACAGCGGCTGCCTAGACTGTCCATGTTTTGTCCGTGAGAGGTGTGTTGTTGACGCGGGGATGGAGTGCACCCAGCATAGGAGATGCAGCGGAATAAAAGACGGGAAAGAATAATGAACAAATACATGCGCCGACCCGGTGCGCGTTATCCAGCTCCTTGTGTCCTCGCGCAGCTCCGCGTGCCGCTGCTCTGTCTACTGCTACAGGAACCTTGGGCAGGAGCGCACAGCCTCCCGAGAACTCCGGAGGTTTTATCACTGGCCACGCCTCCCTGGTATTCACGCCTGAGTCACATCACTCAACTGTAATAGGCTGCTCAATTATGGGAAATAAAGGGTCTGTGGGACAAATAGTTTGTAGTGAGCTGATTTTGTGTGTTTTGGTGTCTATGGTATTCCTCTAATATCTTCATGATAAAGTTTGACTTCAAGAGTTTATGGAGATAATGTCACCTCCTGTTCTATCCCTAAAAGTCATATTGGATACTGGAACGTTACATTTGAAACATCAGATTTAAAAAATATATAAAATTGAAAGCACAGAATAAAGAGTCCCTTGAAATATTGGATCTAAAAATAGCCTCTAACAATGTGACTTTAACACACTTTATTTTTGACCTCCAGGTTAAACATCAGGTGAAAATATCACTGATATTGCTATTAAGTGCTCAGCAGAGCCCATTGGGACAGAGTTTCTTCCTCATTGCTTGCAAATGTATTGTGTCTATATTTTCATATAATGATTACTGACTAACAACCTATTACTCATCATCACTGTTGGGAAAGCAGCATTAATGTTCTGCACATTATGCCTCTTGATTTAGTGCCAGCATGACCTCTTAATGGAGATCCAATAATTGCAGAGTATATAGATAAAATAGTCCATCAAATTAAGTAGTTAAAGTTGACTGGGCTGTCTTTATGGTTCTCATCGCATTGCATTTATTTGATGTTGTAAGCGTTACGGATGAGTTATTGTTTTTTTGTGAATGAGATGATTAAATAACAGGCCACCACGTGCCAGGACAGGTCAGCACTTTTGAGTCATGTTTTCTCCTCTGCAGAGCGACACTGCCACCTTCTGGACAAAGATTATACTTACACTATATTACATCTGCAAGTGGCAAAAGAAAGCTCTACAAAGGAAACACATTTCCTACACATTGTGTAGGAAACCACAATAAATCTATAATACACCAGACCAGGAAACTATTAAACTATTTGTTATATACGGTGGCTTGTGATTGACTGTATTTGTAGCTCATTTACATCGGGCTTTTCCTGTCTTTGCGACCCCTCAAAGTACTTTGAGCTGCAATAAAAGGTGCCATTTTCTTGGGGAAACTAACATTCACACGCAGATGATGGCTATTGGAAGCAACTTGGGGTTAAGTATCTTGCCCATGGATACATCAGCATTTTGACTGCAGGGGCTGGGATCGAACCACCTTCCGATTGGTTTGACCAGACTACCTCAAGGCCAAGATACATTGTCATCTTGGATTGTAAGGAGGGTTTCTCTTTCAGTGGTCGCAAAAGTATTAATTTAGTAAAAGTGCTAATATAGCAATGTGAAAACACTCCATTACATGTAAAAGTCCTCATTTAGCAGTAAAGCTTTTTATTTGTTGTTGCATTCATAATGTTTTCTTCTACTGTTGTTGCTATATATAAAGTCTAAGGTTATTTAATTGATGTGGCTTAACATTTCCAATGCATTTTCCATAGTCCTGTTTTCTATAATGTCTCTCATTTCTGTGTTATTTGTCTGCATGGTGTCCTCTTTTCTGGTTAATTAATGTAAGACTATAAAGAAGAAGAGGTTTATAATTTATCTACTTTTTCCCTTTTATCTAAGTTCCTTTTTACACAAGAAGGACTACTTTTCTTGAGTATAATATTGTTGTATTCTTTCTTTCCCTGCTTGTTTCTGGAGGCTTTATTGCATGCTTGTTTTTTAAGTTACATTTTCAAAGCTTTCAAAAGCACTCGCAACATTCTTTCAACTCATCATTAAAAGGCTGGTACACATTTTAGAGGCATATATCTGCAAAGCTGGGAACTGACTTTATTCAGTCCCAACAGCAGGTGGCAGTGTGTATTCTTTACTAGAGCAGGCTTTTAGATCATTTTAGCTTCGACTTTTTAGGACTCAGACAAATATCTAATCCTCTCGTTTTAAATGGACCTATATGAAATATTTCCCAAACATGTTTAAATTAATTTCACTTAATGCCCGCAATAACCTTTATTACTTTCATTGTGTGCTGTTTTATAACAAAATGTGAGGGGGAAAGATGCCTCACATGGTAATTACACTCTTGATATTTTTAAAAGCATTTATGTTTGCATAAATACTTACAGTTAACGGTACAGTAGGTGATTTACACTCAATCTCGTGGCTGGCTATATTGTGCTGCATCCGACAGCAATTGGGTGTAGTGTTCTGTTCCCATATATTAGTATGCGTACTGTTCTGTTACCTTCTGCTCGCCTCTAAATACTAATAAAAATGAAGCAATCTCAGAAGGCAACTGGATATATTGTGTTTGACCTTTTGAGAATGCCAGGACATAATACTACATACTACGTATTTAATGGGGGTCATGAACTAAATGATTGGGGACCAAACGCCAGCAATGAAAAAAGATTCAGCATCTTACTCTGGGACATTTTAATATTGCATGAAAGAATAACATTTACCTGTGTACACCAAGAAGTTAACTAAGCTTAAAAGACCAATAATACATTTGGGCAACTTAATACTTTAGGTCATGGAGAGGCAACCCGCGGCTCTGCAGGCTCCCAGTAGCTTTGACAAAAAATAACATTGAAATTAATAAGTCATTCTTTTTTTTTTTTTACAACGAGGGCAATTTTAGGAAAAGAACACTTGTTATCTTGGATTTTGAGATGATATTGTGACAACTAAATAAAAAGAGGTTTTATATTTCATCAGCTAATATATGCCTTACATCTTACTACGTCTATTTCCCGGCCTTTGAAAACTAACAAAGGATCAATCCGGAAAAGAAAAATCACAAATGAAATAGTTAATTATCTGTGTATAGATTCCTTTGCTTTAACTTCAAACAATAATGGCTTACCTTTATCCGTGAGAAATTGTGAGAAATTAGCAAACCAGTAAAAATAGAATTGTGGAAGACATTCCAGAACAAGCACACAGCATTTGCTGCTTATTACTTTCTAACAGGTAAAAACACACATAGACATTCAAATGTTTTCTTTATTGTCAATCTATAAGTTCACAGATGCAACACACTATTGTTTGTTTAGAACTATATATAAAACTTACAATTAGAGCTGTGTTATGAAATATGTTTTGCGGCTCCATACATATTTAAATGAGTGGCAAAGGGGGCAAAATGGCTCTTGATAGTTGAAGGTTGTTGACCCCTGCTTTAGGTAATACACAGGTCAGTCACTATAACCACAGAATATTAAGTAGTTTTTTTTACATCCATAGTAATAATTAATGCAGGCAGCATTCACAGGATTTGCATGATCTGTTGTAAATCCTTAGTGTTTGCCCAGGTTTAATGGAAAAAGCAAACATACATGTTTGTATTTCAGGCACACATATCCTCAGAGAGAGTCCAGACTCCCTGAAGCCTTGTTTGCCAGGCAGAGTGGTGACACAGTCCTTTATCCAGGTCAAATGACACCACTGTGCAACATTATGCATCCAGTAACCTACCTAAACAGTAAAGACAGTATCTAAATTATGCCAGGTGTACAAAGCAGTACATCTCTGTTCCTGCATCCTATTCCCGTGCTCCTTTAACCACAGACATTTTATGATGGACACATTTTTCAAAAAGCTGTTTGGTTGGAGCATGAATATTACTTGAACTCGCAGTGAAACTATTACAGGAGGCCTTTGCATTATGATTCTCTTCTAATCCTTTTTCCAGACTCCAACTTGCAGTCCAAGACATTTTCCTGACTGAGCTTTGCTCGAACATAACCATGCTGGCCGTGTCAGAGCTAATGAGGAGAAGAGCCATCTCTGCGAGCACCCATAGCATACTTATGTGTATTCAGAGTAGCTCAGAGCGGTTGGTAAGAAAGAACAGACAATATGCCTTGTAACATTTGCCTGTGTCAACGTGGCCAATCAATAATGCCTCCATCCTACACCATTAAGCCCCTGTGGGCTATTGATTGGGACTCTGCTGACTTCAGCCCCAGAAGTGCTGAGTGGCACTTTACGGCCACAAGGTGTCACACCACTCCTCTTGTGGCCACATCTCTCTGAATTGACACTTGGCTGCTCTCTCAGCTCTAAAGGCAGAGAGCTGGAACATATGAAAAGACTATATTTTCTTAATGTGAAAGAAACAAAAAAACACTGACAGTTGTATGTCAGGGTCCAAGACCTTCTCACTATCTGCTATAGATATACAGTATTTCAGGAGTGGCACTGTCTCATGTGTACTAGCTTTTGATTGAGAGGTCATCTCGCCCTATAGCTCTGCCTCCCTTCAGTCATCGCTGAATAACACAAAGCGGGTTACTATCGTTTAATCAAAAATTGGCATGACCTCAACACAAACTCATATTTATCTGAGCTGCCTGCATGTGGAAGTTACAACAATGAGCCATACGCAGGCCCAAAGTTCCTGCAAATCCTACCGTGAATAGGAAACATAAACAGACATTTCCTCCGGCTCCTCCTACTTCTCCAGCACCGCACACTTCACTGTTAAATGGACAGAAATGTTCAAATACTTTCATAAAAATGTACATTAATTTAATGTGTTTTCTATTTCATGACATCTGATGGGGCGGAAGTTAATTGAATTGACATGTGTAACAGAAGCTCAAAAATCAATATTCAGTGTAAAGTTGATTGGCGAATATCTTCATTTGTGACCTCCTTATTTGACATCCTTTTGCTCTTATTTCATCATAATATTTGAATGTTAATGTCTGTGGAGCCTTGCAAGGAATCAGACTAATTTGCTGCTTCCACTTTATTTGCCTTTTAGCTATAATGAGGATATCTGCAAATCACCTCTTTGCTTTATGCCATAGGCTTTCCGTGTAGCCCTCACAGACAGCCAAACCCACAAATCACAGGAGCCAATCCCCGGTTTAATCAGCTCTCCGTGTTTTCCAGCCTGCCTCTGTCTCGTCCCACTCACACTCTGTCAGAGCGCAGCGTTGAAAGCCACTGGCCAGCACACTTTGTCGGGTTTGTGTCCCCAT